GTTTCTGACTCGTTTCTGACTCGTTTCTGACTCGTTTCTGACTCGTTTCTGACCCTTTTCTGACTCGTTTCTGACTTGTTTCTGACCCGTTTCTAACTGGTTTCTGACTTGTTTCTGACCCGTTTCCGACCCGTTTCCCAGTCGTTTCTGACCCTTTTCTGACCCGTTTCTGACCTGTTTCTGACTCGTTTCTGACTCGTTTCTGACTCGTTTCTGACCCGTTTCTGACCCGTTTCTGACTCGTTTCTGACTCGTTTCTGACCCGTTTCTGACCTGTTTCTGACTCGTTTCTGACCCGTTTCTGACTCGTTTATGACTCGTTTCTAACTCGTTTCTGACCCTTTTCTGACTCGTTTCTGACCCTTTTCTGACCCGTTTCTGACTCGTTTCTGACTCGTTTCTGACCCGTGCAGAAAGGAAACCTGGAGAAGACGCAGGAGTTCTTCCAGAAGCAGGCGCTGGAGCTTCAGGGTCAGGCCGAGTGGCGCGACTGGTTCATCCTGCCCTTCATCCCGACCCCGGAGCAGAACCCGGCCTTCGGAGCGTATTTCTCCCGCCAGTGGGCCGACACCTTCCTGGTGTCGCTGCACAACTTCCTGTCGGTCCTGTTCCAGTGCATGCATATCCTTCACAGGAAGCCTCAGCTGCAGAAAAACTGGCTGAACGAGGCGATTAGTCGATCTGACCGATTCATCTAATTTTTGTCTTTTGTTTCAATGTTTTTGGAACATTGGTCACTTCCTGTTTGGTCACTTCCTGTCGATGTGAAAATGAGAATTTGTTCTCAGTCAACTGACCTGGTGAATAGAAAAACATTTAATTTTTGGAAAATCTGGATTTTTTTTTTCCAATAGTCTGAAGTCAGAGCACCCAGGGCGGCCATCTTGCTTTACCAGCATGTTTAGCCACTTTTATTTATTTTGAATGTGAATTCGGGCCGGACCGGTCACGATAATCATTTCTGCTGGACGATAATTTATTCCAGGAATTACCAACATATTGGAAACGGTATAATAGTGCAAATAACCGTAAATCAAACGGATCAGAGTGTAATGTTTTTCTTTTTAAAACAATTTATTTCTTATAATTTTAAGGTATTATTCTGGTAAAATCTTTATTCTACTAATATTAAAACTTTATTCTTGTAATTACACAACAGTTTCATAGCCTGGCCCATCGTACAACTCACGGAATGAATAACTGGGAAAAAAGCCACTTTTCTTGGAAAGAAACCAGATTAGATTTTACTTTATTCAGCCGAACCAACATGCTGCTTTATTAATAAGTGAGTCACATTTTGCAGGTGAATCTGTTGGTTCCTTAACTGAGCTCCACCTCAGCCGGTGCTGCTGAGCTTCGACGCCGAGGTCCAGAGGATGACGAGTCTGGCTGAGGAGAACGAACAGCTCCGCCAAGTGGTGAGAAGAGGAAGTGTTTCTGAGTCTGTAGGCAGCCTGAGATCCAGTGGATCAGGTTGATCTCTCTGTCTCTGCCTGGGTTTGATCTGCTTTCATTCCCAGCGCTGCTTCAGTTCATTGAGGTTTCTGAGCAGCATTTCAATCAGGGCTGGACTTTGACTAGGCCTTAGCAGCCTCAGTTCTTTACTTTTTCATCAGCAGTTTCGTCTCTGCGGTTACGCTTCAGCTGATGTTTGCAGAATGATGTTGTGTTTTATTATTCTGACAGTCTTTTTGCGTGTTTCTCCAGCTGTTCGCCCTGCAGACTGAGAGCCGGGACCAGAAGGACGGAGACGAGGCGGTGCAGCACAAGCTGCCGCTGTACGTCCAGAACATGGACCGGCTGGGAGACACTGAGCTGTGAGCCTCTAACATCTCTCTTTACTGATGACTGACCGAAGCATTGATTAGTGCCTTTCTGCCTGTTTTTAGTCATAATTTAAGACATTCACTATAATAATCCAGTGATATTTTGTTACCAGAGCTGAGAAACGGCTAACAGGACAGATTTTACTGACCCAAAGTGGTTGCCATGGATACGTATCTGACATTTATAGATGTTACTGCTTTTACATGTTACATCTACTTTATCAAATGTGTTGTCTGGACATTAAGTTAAGCTAGTTGTTGTTGTTGCTGTTGCTTCATTGCTAATATTGGTCGTTTTTAGCTTCAATGCTAATGTTTGTTAGCATTTTAGTGTTGGGTTTTTGGTTTTGTGGCTGTTAGCTTCAGTGCTAATCGTTTTAGCTTCATCATCAGTTCTGCCTTTAATTACCTTCTAACTTTAGAAGGTAATTATTCAATGCTAATGTTCTCAGGATTTAGCTTCAGGGCTAATTTTTTAATCATTTAAAATTAATACAGTTAGAATTAAGACTCAGTGCTATTGTTTTAAAGATTTAAGTTTAATATTTACATTTAATGTCTGGTTTTATTATTAATGCTGACACCTTTTACCATCAGTGCTAATTGAAGCTAATTGCTAATTGCAGCATTTAGTTTCCTGCTAATGCAGAAGCTTTCATCTTCATCACTAGTTTGTTAGGTTTAATGTTTAATGCAATTGTTTTAAATTTATTCATATATTCTGTATTTGGTTAGCATTTAGCCTTCTTGTGAACACTGGTAGCTTTTACTAGTAGTGCTAAAGTATTGCTAATGCTTTAGCATTTTGTGCAGTGCTAATTTTGGTTGATATCATTTTGTTAGCATTTTGCAATTGAGCTAATGTTGCTTAGCTTTCATGCTAATGTGTATCATATATTACTGTCACATGACTTCATTTACTCACTGTGGGCTGTAAGTGGATTTTGGTTGTTTTGAAGTTTGTTAAAGAGACTTAAAACACGTCAGAAAATACAGAAAAACACACATGGCATCGAGCTAGAGCTGTTCTGGAAAAGAACAAAGTGCTAAAGGTTTCTTTAGATCTGAGGTACTGATCTACGCAATACTTTTCAGCACTTAGCTTTGCTGCTAATGTTGTTAGCCCTTAGCTTTATATTGATTTCAACAGTCAATATATTTTAACTGTTAAAATAAATGTTAACAGTTTATTTTGTTTGGTGTTAGGAATTAGCTTCAGTGCTATTGTTTTCACATCCAGTGTTACATTGCTAATGTTAGCACTTTGCTTCATTGCTAATGTTAGCACTTTGCTTCATTGCTAATGTTATCAGAATTTAACTTCAAAGTTTTAAACTATTGGTTTTGGTTGTACTGCATTTAGCATTTTGCCTTTGTGCTAACGTTATTAGCATTAAGCTTTGGTGTTAATGTTAGCACTAGTTATACCCTTAGTAATAATTACTAATTTTAGTAAAATTTTTGTCATCTAACCAAAATAGCTTTAGCATTCGTTAGCTCCTGTAGAACATTCTAGCTCATTAGGTTTTAAACAGACTTGTATCTGGTTTTATTTCAATCAGAACCTTTTTAATTGTCCAATAGTTTTTTAAATTGAACCTCTCTGATTTGTCCTCACTGAATGTTTATGATTTTGGCCGTTTGCTAGCTGTGCTCTCCTTCAGCTAGCTGCTAGCTACATTTATGTAGCCTCGACGATCATCCGCCATGTTGTGAAGAACTTTCTGTCCGTTCTGACTCAGAGTGCAGCGGCGCTAGCTTATGTTTACACGCCAGAATGCATTGACATGAAATCGTTCACATCAAAATGGCAGCAGAAGTTGTTTTCTGTTACATTTATTGTTGGCATGGCAACCATTAAACCGAGCTGAGACCATCTGAGTAAAGATTAATATTTCAGTTTGGAAACTGTTCATGAAAAGGTGTTTGTATGGGAAATAAAGACGGTGGGAGTCCTAAAGCTAAGCTGGTGTCTGCAGATCATGTTTGTGTCTCAGATGCTGTTTATTTATTCATGTCTTTATAACTCGTCATTTAAAACTGAGACACTTTGGTGGATTTTCTTCATGCAGTTGATCAGTTCTGTGTGTTATAAACATTTATTTATATGTTTTGACCTGATTTGCTGTTGATGCTCATTTATTACTGCTGTTGCTGTTTAAACTGTGTTCTGTGACGATGTTGAAAAATAAACAATTCACCTGATGAATTGTTTCCTTTGTCCGTGACCCGTTTGTAGAAATCGGTTTGCAGTAAAGATCAGTTTCTGTGAAGGAAAGGAAAATCTGAAGAGCACAACAACTCCTGCTCCATAAACACTTTGAGATATAAGCAGGAAACACATGCAGCCTGAATAAACTGTGTTTCTGACGGGTCTGAGTCTTCGGAGTGAACCGTCCAGAACCGAGGAAGATCCACTCTGCTCCCAGAATGCAACACTTCCAGTCCTCATCCACTTGTTTTTGGTTTTTATTATTATTATCATTAAAGTCTCTGCAGGTCGTTGGAATCCATCAGTTTTACTATAAATACATCGATCAATGAGCTATTAGAGAAAATGTATTAAATAACATTTTTATAAAGATAAAAATATGATTTTAAAATCCCATCCAACGTCATTAAGACCAAAAAAAACATTTGTAGGTGTTTCTGTAAAATAAGGTGAATCTTTTACCGTGGAATCAGTTCAGTTTGGACTCGGTTTGAACCAGTTCATCTGTGTTTGTTGAACTCTTGTGTGTTGCAGGGACTTGGTGTCGAGTCAGCGAGTCGTCAGCGCCGCCGCCACGCCCTCCAGGAACTTCTTCTCCACGCTGCTGCCGCAGGCCAAACGGGCCCCGATGAAGGCGCCGCCCACATCAGGGTCCCCGAGCCAGGCAGCGCTGGGCAGGAAGGAGCTGCCAGCCAATCAGGTGACAGCATGGGTTTGATCAGCCAATCAGGGGACAGCAGAGGTTTCATCAGCCAATCAGGTGACAGCAGAGGATCCTGGACTGTTGGTTTTACCCATTTATTGTTTTGAACAGTGAGCAGAATCAGCCCAGTTTATGTTTGGCTGAATGATCGACTGTCCTGGAACCTGAGTTAGTCCTTTGGTACATCTTGGGCAGTGCTAACTAAAAGGTTAGCTGTGCTAACCCTAAAGCACTAATCGTGAACATTTGGTCCATTAATGCTAAAGCGCTACAACAAACAGCATATTTAATGGAAGCTAATGCTAAAGCACAATAACAGCACAGTATTTAGCAGGAGCTAATGCTGAAGCGCTACACCAATACAGTATTAAGTTGAAGCTAACAGTAAAGTGCTAACTGAAAGACTACAACCCTCAGTCATTAATTTAATTTTGTCTTTAGTATAATTTCTCTATTTATGCCCTTATGTGTTGTATTTGGGTTTATGTGTTTTCCCTTCTGTCTGTCTTTTATTTTGTTCCTGTATGTTTCTTTTTTTAAATAAAGTTATTGGGGAAAAAAGTGGGGAACATGAGGAGAGGAAATGGAACTGCTGCATCTTCAAAATAAGAGCATGAATATAAAAGTCTAAATACTTGAAGAATTTTTAACAGCTGATAAAATGCAGGTTTCAAAATGTGTTTATTGTTTTTATTTTGTTAGTGTGGTTCCAACTGACCAAAACACAGATTTTTCCCCCCATTACTTATAATTAAAACCTCTGATTATTTTCAGGCTGTAAAGTCTAAGGAGTCGTCCCAGTCTAAGGAGGTAAAAGCCGCTTCCTGCCAGTCTTCGTCCAGCGAGCCTCCCAGTTCCCAGCCTCAGGCCTTGAACCACAGCAGCCGACACAGGAGGATCCAGGAGCACGAGAAGGAGAGGAAGGAGCTGTTCTCCAGGCCGGCCCCTCAGGTGCGCCTCACCTGGTCAACGCTCTGAGTCCGAGGAGCTCCAGCTCAGCTTTACGTTTCCCTCAGGCTGCAGAGAGCAGAGCGGACGACGTGGATGCGACCGCAGCCAAGAGCGCGGTGGAGCCGCCGGACTCCTCCGGCAGGGAGGACGGCGGCCTGCAGGTGGAGCAGCCCTTCATCAAACTGAGCCAGGAGGAGTACGGCGAGCATCACTCCTCCATCATGCACTGCAGGTACAGAGTCACACCTGAACGCCGTCAGACTGTAAACCTGAACTCAAACCTGCTGCCTGTCTGCAGGGTCGACAGCTCTGGGCGCCGGGTTGCCAGTTTGGACGTAGACGGCGTCATAAAGGTTCGTTTATTTTTATTTTACCATTTTCTAACCTCTGAAAAATCAAACTCACTGTGAGAAACTCTCCTCTCTCTGAAGGTTTGGTCCTTCAACCCCATGATGCAGACCAAAGCCACCATCATGTCCAAGTCTCCTCTGCTGTCCCTGGAGTGGGCCACCAAACCAGACAGACTGGTAAGACTTTAAAACCGGCCCACAGGATGGATCGGTACGTTAGCACAGGACGACGGCTAACTCTGGTGACTGAATGTTTGCGTGGTCAGCTGTTATTAGGCAGCGGCGTTGGGACGGTGCGACTCTACGACACAGAAGCCAAGAAGAATCTCTATGAGATGAACATCGATGAAACTCATCCACGGTAAACCACCAGCAGTAAAGCAATTAGCCTTTAAGGATATTTATTTGACCCTCACAGACAAGTTTGAGCAGATTTCATAATAAATATTAATGTATAACTGGATCAGAGCCATAAGAACATAAATGCTGTACGAATGGATGAGAGACATTAGCAACCAGCAAACGTATTAGCTGCTAAATGCTACAACCAGACAATTTGCAGATTATATTTTTTATTGCTATGAAGTTTAAAAAGCAGTGAGAAAAGATTTCATATTAAACTTTTATTCACCAATAATCCAGATTATATTATTAATACATCAGAACAGCAGATTGATATGGAAAGTTAGCACCTAGCTAAGCGGTTAGCATGAAGCAGCTAAAGAGTTTAATATTTCCTTTGGAATCCGTCAAAAACTTAATTCGGCTTCAAACAAAATTAGTTTTCCATGAATTTCTGGGACCATGTCATAAATCAGTAGCCATTTCTGAATGTAGGCTAACAACATGCTAGCTAGCTTTTTAGCAGCTAACTGCTCCACTAGTCAATAGAAATAAAACGTATTTACTTTATGTCAAAAATGTCAACTAAAGAGGACCAAATGATGCAGATGCTAACCCTCAGCCTTTGACCAGAGGAGTGAATTTATTTAGCTAACTGGTTTTGTCTGTCAGTATTTTGTCGTTAGCCTGCAGCCCCAGCGGCTCGTCGTTCGTCTGCTCAGCTGCGGCTCTCAGCCGCTCTGGAAGTGTTGATTCTGTTCCTCGGCTTCCCATCCCGGTGTCCGGTCAGCTGCTGCTCTGGGACACCAAGACCGTCAAACAGCAGGTGGGGAGTTAACTAGCTTAGCAACATATTAGGGGTCAGGCAGTTGGCACAGAACCGTTTACATCATGAATTAAAATGTTGTTTTAACTGAGATCCAGCATGTTTTCTGTTGCATTGGAGAACATTTAACCTTTGAAAAGGATTTCATGTTAATAACTTCATCCTGTCCGTCTCCCAGCTCCAGTTCTCTCTAGAACCAGAACCAGTCGCCATCAACTGCACCGCCTTCAACCACAACGGGAACCTGCTGGTGACGGGAGCTGCTGACGGCGTCATCAGGCTCTTTGGTTGGTGTTGCTGACTCCGTCAGCTGCCTGTAGTCATGTTTGGGTGGAACTGATTGGTGCATCTGCTCCCGCTGTAGACATGCAGCGCTACGAGAGCGCCATGAGCTGGAGGGCTCATGACGGAGAGGTTTACAGCGTGGAGTTCAGCTACGATGAAAACACGGTTTTCAGCGTCGGGGAGGACAGGAAGGTGAGTGAGAGCAGCGGGTCGAGTCGTTCTGCTGGTTCCAGCGCTGGGCTGAAATCGGCGTTTGTGTTCAGTTCATCCAGTGGAACATCCACCGCTGTGGGGTGAAGCAGTCGGAGCAGGTCCTGCCTCAGGACGCCACCGGCCCCTTCGTCCTGTCGGGGTACAGCGGCTACAAACAGGTGAGTCTCATCTGACTCAGTCACAAAGGATCCAGACCGAACCCGTCGTCATGACGACCGGATTAAACCAAAGATCCACAAACTGGATATGATCTGTGTTCCAGGTCCAGGTTCCCAGAGGACGGCTGTTTGCCTTCGACTCTGAGGGCCAACACGTCCTGACCTGTTCCAGCTCCGGAGGACTCATCTACCGAGTGCGTACCCTTCATCGTCTTCCTCATCCTCAGCCCTTTTGCTCCTTTGTAGCCTCTTTGTAAGCGATAGCCTAGCTGAAGGTCTGAAGGGTCGAATCAGTGGCAGGTGTGAAACAAAAGTGGTTTTATGTTTTAGTTTCATTATCTGTAGAACATGCTGTGTTTTTAACTGAAGGTGAGCTCAGAGTGGAACCCTGAGGAACTCCTGATGTTCGCTCTCTGACTCTCTGCTCCTCCTCTTCCAGCTGACCAATGGGGAGCCGGCGCTGGATCGGGTGCTGTCGCTGGGCGGACACAAGGCCCCGGTGGTGACGGTGGACTGGTGCTCCGCCGTCGACTGCGGCACCTGCCTCACCGCCTCCATGGACGGGAAGATCAAACTCAGCACGCTGCTGGCACAAAAGTCGTGACCCTGAAGGCGTCGGGGGTCAAAGGTCGACGTAAATGGATCACTGTGCAGTTTCTAATGTTGTCTAACGTCTATTTTTGTTTCATTCATCATTAAAGTCTGACTTAAAGTTTCACCCTAATCTGTCTTCAGTTTGGCTTATTCACCTGTTGAGGCTCAAAGGGGAATCTGAGATTCTGGGTCAGCTTCATGACAGAACTGTAGCTCTGACACAGAGCAGCTGAGCCTGATGTCTGTTAAGATGTATGGAGCAGATATCTTCAGTGTTTGGGATCCACAAATCCAATACAATGCTATCTATAAGTCTATATAAAATATAAATACAGTGGTGGGCACTGCTAACTAAACCTTTTAGTACCGTAAGCTTGTGCTTTACCATTTTATAGAAGCTAATGGTGAAATATTACACCAGCAAGGCATTACGCTTAAGCTAATGGTAAAGCGCTAACTTCTATTAAAAATTTATATTTGCCTGTTAAAGACCACAACACTTGAGCACCAGTTTAATTTTGACATAATTTAAATGTTCTTTAATGCCTTTCTATATTATATTTATGTTTAGATCTTGCTGTCTGTGTTTTATTTTGTTTCTTGTGTCAAAGTATTTGGTGGCGAAGGGGGAACGGAACTGCTGCGTCGTCTTCACCCCTTCAAAATAAGGGCATGAACATAAATGTCAAATTATTTCAAGAATTTTAACATCCTTTAACTAAAACACAAATCTTGAACTTTATTCAACTGACAATTCACAAAGCAACCAAGTAGACTAGCGCTTTATAGAACTTAAACAGAAAAATGCATTTAGAGTAAGCTAAGTGTGCTAAACGTTTTTAAAGTAACTTAATGCTAACCAAAAATGGAGCTCTGCTACTAGTGTGCCCACTCCTGTATATTGGCTAACGAATCTAGAGCAGTGGTCCCCAACCCCCGGTCCGTGGACCAATTGGTACCGGGCCGCGCAAGAAATAATTAAATATTTCCGTTTTATGTATTATTTGAGTCTGGAGGATCTTTTATTTTGAAAATCCTTTAACCGGATTCTCTCAGTTACTTTCGCGCCAACACTGAGCCCACAAGCAGCAAAATGAGTAAGAAACAGATCAGATGTCTTTGGAAAGTTTCTTTGCAAAGGGGAAAAGGTCCAGAGAAGAGACAGGAGGATGGATTTATCCCGGACCGGTAGGTGAGTCCCACATTAAGCCGCGCTGAGTAACATGCGGTGACCGGCAGCTAAAGAGGCAATGAAGCTTCAAACTGCTTCGCACTAGAGACCCAGCAGGCTGTGGATATAAGCAACACTTCGGGTGTCATTGTCTCATCACTCCCAGATGGGACCGTCTCGGTGCAGAGAAACAAGCTCAGGCTCTGTTAGTCGTTATCGTGAGTTAAAATTTTCACGAAAGTAAAATGTTTGTTTTTGTGGCGCATCTGTATCTTATTTTGAAGGGATATGTAAACGTT